GAAGCAATTATCAGTAGTAAAGCTACTTGTTTTTACTAGCAGTGTCTGAAACTCTATTTGTGTGTTTCTACTAGCAACATTCTTTCTCTCTAGCTGTACATTCTGCTGCACTACTTTCTGTCTCCCAACGGAGATACCCTTAACACCCCTCCCCACACACATGCATGTCAGAGACCCAAAGATCAACTGGCCTGTGGGAGGTACACACACATGCTCAGTGAAGCTGGACCGGGCCGATGGCTCGCAAGCCCATAGAGAGGGCGCTGCGTGCGGCATCAGGGATCTAGGTTTTCACAGATAGAACAGGATAATAAAATGTCTTGTATTTTAATCCTGACAGAAGAAAACACGGCTATGTTGTTGCACTTGGATTCTGAATTGAATGTTTCTGGAGATTCTGATTTTACTTTTTCTTATTTTCCTTTCCTTTTCCAAATCTTCTATTTTCCAATTAATTACTTTTATTTTGTATTTTGCTATTGCTTTTTTTCATGAAGACTTCCTTAATTTCACCTTCCAGTTTTATTGGACTTCTTCCTCTTAAGCATTTGGGTGTCTCTTTTAAAAGGCAACTGTTTTCATACTATACTGCCATCTGCAATAATTTGAATGAGTAATAAAACATCATTTCCTCTACAAGTCCTGTTCCTTCATAAGACGTTATTGATTGAAGGAATTTCTTCACAGTGGGCTGCACTGCTTTATTGTTGGCTGAATGCATTGCAGCTACATTCCTCACCTTCATATTTAAATGCAACCTACCTATTTTATGCCTCCCGAACCAAAATGCATAGATATGCTGAAATAGGAGCTTTCCACAATTTTTTGGTGCAATTTGCCTCTCAAAAACGGCAAGTATGAGGAAGAATGCACAGAGAATGGGCACAGGCATAAATGTCACTGCATACAAAGTGAAAGCTGACCCAGATGAAGTTTGAAGCAGACTTTTCACAAATGAAAAAGAAAATAAAGAAAAGCGGAACAAGCTTTAGGTTGAAAAATGTAAGAAAGTTGCTTTGGCAATTGTGACTAACCCAGCTGTAAAACTATATTTGTAATTTGTCTTGATAAATTTTTTAATTAACATATAAAGGTAAAGGTTCCCCCGCACATGCATGGTAGTCTACCCGACTCTAGGGGGCGGTGCTCATCTCCATTTCTAAGCCAAAGAGCCAGCGCTGTCTGAAGACATCTCCGTGGTCATGTGACTCAATCCTGAAGGCACACAGAAAGCTGTTATCTTCCCACCAAAGGTGGTCCCCATTTTTCTACTTGCATTTTTACATGCTTTCAAACTGCTAGTTTGGCAGAAGCTGGGACAAGTGACAAGAGCTCACTCCATTATGCGGCGCTAGGGATTCGAACTGCTGAACTGCCAACCTTCTGATCAACAAGCTCAGTGTCTTAGCTACTGAGCCACCATGTCTCCCTCAATTAGCATATAAATAGAGATTAAAGAAAGCAGCATAGGGAAGCTATCTATCTATCTATCTATCTATCTATCTATCTATCTATCTATCTATCTATCTATCTATCTATCTAT